ATAAACAATTATACAGACAAATAACTTCCATTCAATGCGTACCAATGGAAATATTTTTCTGTCGGTTTATGAGTGTCAGGTGAAATCTACATTTATCAGTTTATTGATAAAAATCGAATCCTGCCAAGCCTACATATAAGCCACTGAATAACCAAAAAGATAAGCACAGAATTGCATTAAGTAAGATGGTTACTTTAAAAACACATGGTGAAAATATTATACAGAAAACTTCTCATATGCTGTGATTTTATGTTGCAGAAAACTCTCAGAATACAAAGCCTACAACTTCATAGATGGACTTCCAAAAGATTTCAGAAAATCCAAGTCTTGGAAAGATCAGGTCCTGAGATTCAACCTTAACAGATAAAGCTAAGAACCCACATTTTCTAAGGGTAATGCTTCCGCTGATATCCCCATATTCCCTGTATTTTTATCCAGCAAAATTATTTTTCACTTTCCATCCTGTGACATATTTTTATAGTGTAAACAACATGAAATGGCTGTCCTGTTCATCTTCACAGGCAGTTACACAATAGTCATATATTGGTAGAGTTTCTAAAGCGCTTTCCCTCCCACCTCAAGACTAGAATAGTGTTTTATATAACTCTAAAATTATTCTGTGGTTATTAAAAGCCTATATAAATATACACACACAAATATATATCAACACATCAAACTGCATCAGGGTTTCCCTAAAGAAATCAGACGGCATCTGCAAATAATCCTCAGAATTCAGTCAAGATTTTCCAATAGTTCCTGTTAGATCAAGAAAATCTATGCATATCAAATTATTTCCAAGGTGTATGTCACTGCAATATCTAAGTACCACTCCAGGTGATGAAGGGTTATCCACTGGAGTTGCTTTTAGTTTGCTTTTAAGAATGCTGTGAATCAGCTGTAGGTTAGCAACTTTAGAGTAACTTTAATTTTGTATTAGGAAATTTACTGATAAAGCAATAAGATTAGAACCCAGAAAATCCAACCTAGCAAAAGGCATGTATATTACTTCACCACTGACTGCTCATGGAAGAAAATTAGACCTGTTCAAGCATTTCAGTTTGTAATTTTGTCACTTTCTAATGGCTGAAGGTCTGAATAAAGACTATAAATCCTCCTGCATTCCTAAAGCCATTTGGTTGTCCAGGTAGCAAGTGAACAGTCAAAATGCAACAATTCTACACATAGTGTCAGATTTAAGTTGTTGTTAACTGCAGATGAGTAGTTTATACAAAGGAACATATTTTCAGAATATAGCCATGCAAAAGATATTCTCAAATTCTTTTCTAGTAGAAATTCCACTTCAGATGCTTAAATATATAGTTTTGCCATTTACCCATTTTCTTCTTTTCCATCTTTCAAACAATTCACAAATTTTCACATTTTAAAAACTGACTAGTTTTCTTAAATACCTTCTTTATTTGTAAACCATCTTAGCCTCATAACAGTAATTAAACTAATCTCCTATGGGAGACAGGTTGTAGATTATAGGTCTACATAAATAGTAACGGTCTTCAAAACTTCTTACCAAGGGGTTTCTGGGGGTTTTTTCTCTTAAAATAAGTGGATTGTCTGGAATTCTGAGGCTTCCCTGAACAAGATTCTGGAAGTTTTGAGGTGCAACAGTTTGGGAAATTTATCTTTGTGAACCCGAAGAATTCCAAGAGAGTTCATGAAACTGCTGCATTACTACATGCTTCAGTGACTATTGAATCAACCATATGCTACCAGGGTAGGTATAACAAATTTCCCAGACCAGGAACAAATGGATGATGTTAACTTCTCTAGTTCCCCATTCAAATGGGAGAAACTTAAGAGTAATGGAAGGGCTGCAGACTAGGGGAAAATGAGGACCAGGATACAGGCATTATGTTTGTACTGGGAAAATAAGCAGTCTCAGTTTGAAACTATATTAGTGTTCATTCAAGTTCTCTTGAGGGAAACATGACCCCTCTGGGAGAAAGATCTTTTAGGTTAACACCTGGAAGATCTCCCCTGTGAGAGATTTTCTCTTGCACCAATGAACACCTGTATGCTGCTCCATTTCCCTCCTGGTTTGGTCCGGTTAAGAAGTGGAGCAGCAGGGCAGTGCTCCCCCACACTTCTTCCCCAGACTAAAGACCTCCTGGTCTGAGGAATGGACTGGGGGCGAGGACGGGTTTGCCCTGCTATTCCCTCCACACCACTCCTTGTGACCAGGGCAGAGCAGAGGAGGCTGCTGCTCTCCTGTTCCCCAGACTAGGAGCCTCTGATCTGGGGAAAGTGTGCAGGATTCTTTCCCTGCCATTCTACTCCCTCCAGGGACTGGAAGAGAAGATCAACTGCTGACTCCTGCAACTGGGGTCACCCTGGTCTGCTGAAGGGGAAGGGGTGGATGCAGGTTCCTGAAAAGATTTCTAGTGGTGGAAATTTCTCAGAAATTTCCAAATAAATGCATGTTTATGGCCTAAATCTACCCAGAAAATTCAGGAGGAGGAAGTGGAACACCAGAACACCGGCAAAAAAAGGGATAAAGAAACAAGGTAAAAAGACCTGCCTTTTGAAAAAACAAAGACTCTGAGTGATGTTCTCAGTAAAAGGAATCTACTGACTTGGATCTGAGCAGCAGAGGAGAGCTCACTGCTGAACTTAGAAAAGATTCTAAGAGAAGACTTATCTAAGGGAATGGGAGTCCAAGAGAGGACCTGGGATCCCTCAAAGGATGGATCAAATCCTGAAGAGCTTTAAAAGTTGGAACAGCACTGGAAAAAGAGTTTTTACAGGAAATTATTTCTTATTTTGCCTAGAATGTGCATCTTCTGTGATTATTCTAGGACAGTGGTTCTCAACCTTTTCAGATTTGAGGCATACCTCCAAAACATTTCCAAATCTAGCAGCACCCCCGTAAAAAAAAAAAATACAGATATGTTATGAATATCATAATATAAAAGTTATATAATTAATTAATATGTTATGAATTGCTCCATTTATAAATTACATTATATTATATTCACCCCCTGCCATAGCTGCTGTGGCCAGGTGGAACTGCGCCATGCACTACCTGCAGAGCCAGATCAGGAAGTGGTTGTGGCAGGAATGTGTGCTCTTGCTGCAATCCTTCCCAGTCCAACCCTGTACAGTGTCTCCTGGAAACAGAGATGCACAAGGCACATGGAACTGTCCCTGCATGACTCTTCAGATGGTGCTTTGGAGCTGAACTGAGAAGCAGCTGCAATGGAAACAGTATGCCTGCCTGCATCACATTATGCAGGCAGGTATATCATTCAAACTGCAACTCTTCATGGTTCAGCTCGGACATGGCTCCTGAAAACACAGGTATATGAGGCAGTTTTACCCTGTGACTGAGATGGATGCCGCTGCCACCAGGTAGAACTACCCTGCACACCTCTGTTTCCAGGAGACACGTCAGAAGTGAAATGAAGAGTTGTAGTGTAGCAGAAACAGTGTGCCTGTCTCCATAATGTAATGTGGCACCCCAGTTGAGAGCCACTGGTTAGAACTAAAATGTGATCAGTTTAAGAATTCCCCTGAGAGGCAAGGCTTTTTGTGATATCTTTTACTGGAACAACTGTATAGTTGGAAGAGCTACTGGACAAGCTATTGGACCTCAAGTGCCCTTCTTCAGGTCACAGGGGTTTAGGTTATAGCCGTGTTGGTCTAAGGACATAGGCAGACAAGGTTCCTTGGGTGAATTTGGTATCTTTTATTAGACCAACCCAAATAGTTGGAGAAAAGTTATTAAGCAAGCTTGCGGGTTCAAAAACCCTTCGTCAGGCTAAGGAAGTTTCAGCAGTTGGTGTAAGAGCACACACCAACTGCTGAAACTTCCTTAGCCTGACGAAGGGTTTCTGAACCCGAAAGCTTGCTTAATAACTTTTCTCCAACTATTTGGGTTGGTTTAATAAAAGATACCAAATTCACCCAAGGAACCTTGTCTGCCTTCTTCGGGTCAGGAATTCCTCTGCAAATTTACTGTGTTACTTGCTTCAGTTATATTCCTGAAGAGTTGAAATATTAACTGAAGTATGCCCCAAGGATGGAGTTTTCAAGAAGGAGAGAGAGAGAGAGTTGAGCATATAAGGTTCAGCATGGTTCCTGTAGCCTAGAACAGTAGGCCTGTGGGCCCCACTCCCATAAGCAGAACAGATAAAGTCTGTGCCTCAGATGACACAGCCAGAGATTACTGCTGGAGCCTGCTGAAACCCAATGGAGTTTGGATGCACACGGATACTATATGTATCCAAAACATCCTGGAGGGCATCTATGAACAGGTCTACACAACCAGGACAGTAGAATTACGTAATTTAATTTCTGTACTATGTCTTCCTGTAAGTGCCCCTATTGGCAGGGCTTGCCTGTTCTGGCTTTGGGCCTATCCATTCTCAGATTTACCTTCCATCTTGCATCAATCTGGTTCTTCTGCAACATCATTCCCCTTTCTGGATATGGTTTATTAACCTAAAAGCTTCCTCAAACTTTCCAGCTCCCTTCCTCTGCTCAATTCATTCTTTCAGTTTATAATGAATTTCAGCACTCAGCTAGACACAAAAGTCTCCCGAATCATTTATCTGACCTTCTTCATGAACTTTTGCCTATTTTATGGACTCTCCAGGACTTCTAGCTGGAAAGTCTATGGGGTCACACGATCTGCAGGGCCCTCTCCTATGTTTTGGGTTTATAAGCTCCAGAGTTGTCAGTTGCCTTTTTCCATCAGATTCTCTCCCTGCTCTCTCTGACTGAGCTCAGACTACCTTTACGTTTGGATGGCTTGGTTTCTAGCAAATGGTCTTAATTCTTCTAGAGAAGCCTCTCTTGCACAGTTGAGGTTGAACATCAAAGCCCTTAAAAGGATCAGCCTCACTCCTCCCCTCCCTTCTATTTTCACTAAACAGTTATCAATCAATACTGGGAAGAAATACAACCCCCCCCCCCCCCCCCCCAATGCTACTTTTATCAACCCCAGTTTCATATATATTTATTTCTCTCAGGAAGGTCTCACTCACCCTGCTGCCCCTGCGGTGTTTGTGAGATGATGAACTGTGCTGGCTGCAAGTTGGTTGTTGGATGCACCAACACAAACTGTTGCAGGTTGAGATTCTGCTGTTGGAGCTGCTGCAGGTGCTGCAAATCCTTAATGAAAAAACAGCTGTGTGTTAGTCACTTACATCAGTCACCATTCCTAAAATATCTTAGATACACTAGAACCTTTCTAACTGATTATTTTTAGCTGTGGAAGATAAGAGGTGACCTAGCCCCAACCACTCTCACTACTACTTAACTTAAATGCCCCAAGGGATTTCTACCATCTCCCCTACTGTAAAAAAAAAAACCAATGCAGTATTTAGGTTGTCATAACATGATCATCTGCTTTCAGGAAAATCTGGAAGATCTATAACCATTTCCTCCATTTCTGCGCTAATTTCTCTTCCAAAATGAATGAAAGACATGTGTGGTGTCACTTGCTCTGGTTTTGCTAGAAATTTGGTCCCTTTCTCATGCAATGCACTAAGTTAATATATTCAGTAGTGGGAATAAGAAACTGGTCTTATTTCTTGGGCCCAGTAACATGACATAGATCAGGGTTACACACAGTTATACTGCATGGCAGGGGTCAATATTACAGATAGGAAGAGATAAGTTCTATTTCCATTTCAGACGGTCATCAGGACTTCATTTTAAGGATCTAATGGAGTGGATGGAGGGGTTGCAAGAGGTGCAGGGTGACAGCAGGAGCCTGAGAGCCTCCAGGGGGGGGAAGACAGGCAACTTATGGGAAAGAGAACGTAAGAGGTCAAAAGCTGAACAGACTTAATTCTTAAGAGAAGGTGGTGAGAAGGGTACTTCAAAAATGGAGCTGGGGAGAGAATCTCCAGAGGAATACAAAGCAGTAGCTTACCTGGGGGATGGGGAGGGCAACTGGGACATCAGCACTGTGCACAGCCTTTAAGGCTACTGCCACAGCTGGTAGCTGGCTACCTCTACCTGCAGTGCAGCAGTCAGCACTGCTGTGCATGCCAAAATTGCCCAGGATGCAGAGCTGCCCAGTTACACCTCTGTAACATGAGTGAGGGGACATTGCAGAGAAAACAGAATGGACAGGCATCAAGTGACTAAGGGAAGACCTAAGGGGACAAGGAAATCTCAAGTAAGTGGAGAGAACTTGATTTCCAAGGAAAGAAAGAACAGGAAGAGAAAAAGGCAGACAATATTAGATCTTGGAGAGGAGAAATGATAGAAAAAGGAACAGCTTTATTTCTTGTCTTACGGAAGAGAAGACGGAGGGGGGATTTGATACCAGCTTTTAACTACCTGAAGGGTGGCTGCAAAGAGGATGGAGTTAGACTGTTATGCAAAACTCCTATTCAAGTTTTGACACTGCCCTACAACCTTCACCAAAAAAACCCAAACCTGCTATGGTTTGGGAACATAGTTTAATTCTCTGGACATAGTTTAATACATCATATTTTGGTAACTGCAAAATTCAACCCACCCCAGTGTATTCTCTGTGTACGTCTATTCAATGAACACACTGGGGGGTTAAATACACTTGGTGCATCTACAGTATCTATAGCTTCCGACCTCTGTTAGACTACCTCAGGTCTTGGATAAGGCTCATTGGGTCATCCAGCTCCTTTCCCTGCCAGCGCAAACATGCTTCTAATATGGTCTAGTTTTCGTCGAGTCTAGGTTTAAGAGCCAATCATCTAATAAAACTTTACTGCCAAGAAAGATCTCATGAGATTCACCCTAAGTTTTCCCTTCCTAAATTAAACTGCCTTCAGATCTAGCATGCTAGCTTTAGGCCCCATTCTATCTACCTATGCCTTCTAACCTTGGCATTTACACTCTTACAATAAATTTAAGGATGAGACAGAGAAATTATTTGAGAGAATATGTTACAGATAATTTAAGATTACATGATGATGCAAAGGGGAAGAATGAAAGTTTCACTTTCAGTGGTAATACTTACATTTATTCTTTTTGAATGCAAAATTGTGCGACATTCAAAACTGTAATTACATAATGAAATCCCCCAAACTGAAAAAAAATAGCTACTATACCAATATTTGAATTGGCATAAAACCTGGGAAAACAAACAAATCATGCCACAGGCCAATGTAGCAATTTCAGAAGTTGTACTGGTGTGTGTACTGTGTGGCATTGTTTTTTCCTCTTCTCTCACTTATCACATACACATGGTATTAATTTTTTATTTACCATAATGTTTGACAAATTTCACATCATATGCCAGGGCATTTAAAAAAAAAAAAAAGCTATCATCTAGTTCAGGAAGTAAACTTGCAAACAACTGAAAGGTGAGGAGGGGGTGAAAAATAGTCTTGTGCTTAATTATTTTGGCTGAGAAAAGACCATAAAAGCATGACAAGAGTGTATCATTCTCTGCATCTGTCTTGGCAAGCATCATCTTGGCTGAGCCTTACGTAAACAGGGAACCTCATTCTAAACACAGTGCTAATAATGCTGAGTGGGACTGATGCCCAAGGAGCTGGTCACCCATTTGAAACTCTAGTCTTCCACTCGTGTCCGACTCATGTAAATTCCATCAGTTCACCTGTATTCATAACTCAAATCTTACTATTCAGTTATATATATATATCTTTATCAGTCTCTCACTAAAGACCATATATGCACAGTTGCTGATGGTTTGTTTTGTTGTTGTTGTTGGGGGGGAGGGGGGGGAAGTTTGGTTTATTTATTTATTTACTATTCAAGTATCTAGGCTTTCTCCATGGTGAAGACCAGATTATGCCATCGCGAGCACTACAGAAGTCAGTGTTGTAAAAAGACTTATTAGGTAATCTAGTCTAACCCACTTAACAAAGGAAGACTGTCTGGAAATATATTTTAGCTTTTTGTCGGGATAATTTAAAAAGATCAGAGTGATTCAATTTCTACCACTTCCCTTAGAACATCCTGTAACTTAGTAGACTCTGCCATAAGAAAACTTTTTTCTTGACATCAGACGTGAACTACTTAGTTCTATGCCATTAATCCTAGCTATAAACTGGATACAAAACTAAATAGTATCTCTATCCCTTTGATGCTTACATCATGCAAAGGCTACTGATGGATCCCAACAGCAGGTGAAGAAAAGGTTAGGCAACCTAGTAATTGTACCAATGTTGAGGCCTCTGTTAGTGGCAATTCTGTAGCAGCACTAGCAATCTTACCGACATCTCCACAGTAGATTCCTTGTGCTAACTGCAGAGCACATTACAGAAATTGTGCTTGTGCAATTAGTTAATTAAAATAAATACGGTAATCCCACTGCTGCAGAGACCTGCCAGTTAATCAATTATTCAAGAATCATCAATTAAAACAAACAGTCAGCTATCTGTGTAATCAGCTATGTGTTTACAATAGCAAGCAAATAAGCAAACCTGAGTGCTGTTTACAGATCAGTGTAAAGATAGATTGGAGAATATGGTCTCATCTATCTACAATAGTAGAGAGTAACCAAGTTTTCCAAATTATGCTTAACACAAGGCTGTACTTTCATTTTACCACAAAGTCAATATCCCTAAATTGTTATTTTTTAAAAGTACAGAATATAGCCAGTCTATAAATTACACATTGCAAAACCTATCTTAAGAGAATGTTAAGGTTGCAAAGTCAAACACTAAAAATTACAAAATGCCAAAACCAAAAGTTGCCTATGCAACCTTTATTCAGTTTCCTCACGCATTTATATTATGATAGACCTCACTTACATGATCAGACTTTTTCCACAGGACCCACCTAGTGTTATTCAGTGCATACAATAACAGTGCTCTCTTAATGAGCAGCTATTTTATATTTTATTTTCACTTCACTGTTTACTGTATGAGCACTATAGCCAATAACATTCTCTAGCACACAGCCCTGAGTCATCCCCACAGCAAAGGTATCCTTACATGTGAAACAGTATGCAATCATATAATTGAAGACTATCATCATGGACAAAGGGGCCAAATTAAGGTTGCACAGGCAACTTCTGTATTGTGATTTTAATGTGAGAGAGAGAGAGAGAGAGTGTGAGTGAGTGAGTGTGTGTGTGTGCGTGCATTCCTAAGTTAAAAAAAAAGACCTCCCCCTGTGCAAATTCCATCATGTAGCACCATGTTGACACCCACATGGGGCAGCAGAGGGCCAGAATCTTCCTGCTCACATTACAGATCTGTCACTTCAGCTAAAGGGATGCCCTACAACAGGTGTTCACAGCCTTTTGCCCATGTGGGTCAGAACCTGCAATCCAGCTGTGGCTACAGGTTGGAGTCTCCACCCCCTGGAAGGGCCAGCACCAGCACTTACCCTCGCTGCAGATCCTGACCCTCTCTTGTCTACACTTCCCTCAAGGTGGAGCAGCAAGCTCCTCAGCAGAGGGATACATTGTGGAGGGGATGGGTGGCATGGTGCAACTCCATGCCACCCATCCCCTCTGCTGGATCCAGCCTGTGTGCCATAGGTTGCCAACTGCTGCTTTATAAAGACAGGCTCCAGACTGGGCTTTGACACTACCAAAGAGTTTCAGATATTTGTTGATAGCAGAGGGACATGGCAAAACTCAGAAGTCTTGTATTTCATCCTTGGCTCTGGAGGGCAGTTTGTTATAGAGAGCACAGATACCTCCATCAATTCTCCCCAGGTATGACACCTTCTGTACAGTCCCTTTCAACCTGTTCCTCTCCTTTCTCTCCCCTGCCTCACCCTCCATTTCTAGTTTTTCCATCTTAGTTCTGCCCTGCACATTTAGTCAGTCTTGTCTCCACGTCCCAGACTTTCCATTCCAGGCCTAAGCAACTGAAAACAGAGTCTTAAACAGAAGGGTAAGAAGTCTTGATAGGTGGTGGTACTAATGCCCTCTAAAATACAAAGGCACAGCATACTCTGCAATAGTCTTATCATGATCGTAATCTTATTACATTCTGAGAACCATAATTTCCAGGGGACCTAGCCTCCACACTGAGGATAAGGCCAGAAATATGAACCTTGTAGACCACATGTGGTTCTCCATGTCTAGAGAATTAAGGAATCTCCTCCATGCTACACATGCTAAAAGCATAGAGACAGTCCAGGTCCTCCACATTACTAATTCAACCCTAACAGATTCAAGAAAAACAGCTGTTCTGGTGAGCATAGTCTTTCTTTGGTAAATAGTATTTCAGAACTAAAGATGCACATCCACAGCACCCGACTGCAGATCTGGATGGATTCAAGCATCACAACATTTTGGCAGGAAGCTGGTTCTCTAGACACACAGGGCACTGGGCCTGTAGTCTCCTGCAGCAGTGGCAGTGGAAAAGGATGAAAAAGTAGTCCTTTCACTCCCATAAGTCACAACAATAAGCATCCATAAGGGCATCACCCTCTTTTGGCACTCTCTTTAAGAATAGAAACCTAAGAAAACATCTCTTCTAAATGGCAGAAAAACAATGATAAGAGAAATATATAAAATGTTGTAGCCCATACAACAGCTACATGGAACTGAAGGACTGAGGGAAGAACTTTTTTTAATACCCTTGAACTTCATCAAAAAGAGGTGAGCATTCCAATGGACACCGCTCCAAAGATTTGGGAGGCTGGCAATACAGGTGCCTTAATCCCACAAAAAAAATATGAGTGGTAGCTGAATGTTTCCAAAAAACAAGCAGATTTCTGGTCAGGCTCTATGGGATCAGGCCTTCATGTTGAACCCTCAACCTTCTCAAGCCCCAGTGCTCACCTGTGTAATCTGTAATGGCTGAGATAGAGGGATCTGTGTCATCGGCGTCGCAGCAGAGGCCGAGATGGTGGCGCCTGCAGCACTGTGCTGCTGACTGGCTGAATGTTGCACTGCAGCCGCCAGCAACTGTGCCTGCGCCTGTTGTAGTAATAACTGCTGCTGGGCTGGCGTCAAGGTGAGCTGGAAACAATTAGAACAAATAACCATTAATAGTGAGAAAAGCTGTTCCAGTTACAAACTACCAGCTATTTATCCACTAATGACTTTGGCCAACTCTACATAAGGACAGCTGCCTACTCAACGTATTATAGGCTTCTACCTAACAGCATGTGTGACATGGCAGAAGCATCTGAACTTGGATTGGGACCTGAAGAACCATGCAAGTTTCTCCACAGCTCTACTTGAAGATTCATGCAAAAAGTAATTAACTAGCAAGCCAAAAGGGGAAAAAAATAAGCACTGACAGGATTTGAAAGGAAATTTACACCCAACAGAACAGCAAGTGATTAGCCAGATGAATGAAAAGCAGGTACTGTATGAACTGATAACACCCCAGCTGCCACACATTAGCATGAACCCCTGCCATATTCCATCATTTCCATTATGCCCTAAGATATAAGTAAAGAACATGAGCTCCATTTGTTTCTCTCCAAGTCTCCCCATCTGTTTTTTTAAAAAAAATAGAATAGAGTTGGCAAGTTTACATCCCTTCCCTTTTCCAAACACACATTATCTCTATGAAACAGGTGGTGACAGTCTCTCCTTTACATGTAAATGAATCAACATGTCCACATTTACTGCAATCCCCAGCTACACAGATCTGGAATCCTGAATGTCTCACTACTGCAGACATTCATTAGGCAAAACAAAAACAGCTTGTTCTCTTTCACCATATATGTTTTTGTTGTTATTAAAAAGAAACATTTAAAATGGCAAAAATAAAAATTATACTAAATTAACACAGTTTTTTAAATTTGGATGCCAATTTGCACAAGTAGTCTTTGTATCTTTCATTACAATTAGCAGTGAAACCCTCAGAGCATCTCAAATATGCAGGTAACGGCACCCAACACTTTAAAATCAAAGATCTAATGCAATGACAGAATAACCCCTTAATCCCTCATTCATGCCTTCAACTGCAGACCTGATGAAATGGAAATAAACTCTCTAAGAAAGCCATTCCACTCCCAAATTTGGATTAAATCCATTTATGACCTTATTGGGATTGTAATAATTTAGCAAGCACCATAGCCCTTTAATAACCATCACCTTCTATTTTCTTTGTCCCTCCAAACATTGCCATAATAAAGAAACAGAAATCTCAAAACTGATAGGTTAAGGCTGGAGGGGATTGATGCAGATGTTCAGAGACTCTACTTTTTACTGGGGCTTTTGCAAAACAACTGAAAAGTAGGGGATCTAAAATTGTAATCATTCCTATCACTTTCTGCTTATCAGGTATACTCCTTTTTTGACCAAGGGTTTCAGTCTCAGGCTCATATCTGATGATGCAATTAAGTCAAAATACTAAATTTTTGATATCCACTTCTACAAAACTACCTAATGTCAGGGTTTTGATTTCATTGCAGAATCAAGAACTATATTATTCTGATACAAATAATCTGCAGGAAACCTACAAAAATATTACTTACAGAGCTGGCTTTTGGGAACAAAACATTTTCTGGTTCCCCATGCCACCCAAGTTTTCCCCAGGTCAAAGTCCCTGTTTTAATAAAGTGACAGTAACCCCAGATAGTCACTCTACTGCTGTTTGGTTTGGTGTGCAATTCTAATTGGATGGTGAACAACAGCAGTGTTGCTGGACAGGAGGCTTACTACAATTCCCTCGGGTAAATCTTACCCCGGTGATCTGTCCTCCGGCCAGCATGAGCTGGGTCTGGGGTATGGCCGCCTGCACTGAAGGCTGCTGGGAAGGCTGGCTTGGCTGCTGGGAGTCCCCAGATTCTTCATTAGATTTAGACTAGGAAAAAAATATATATAACTCTTTATAGTGTAAAACAGATGTTAATGTGTACACTGCGATCTCTATTCTGTGCATTGCATATCTTTCATCTGCATTCAAAAAAGCCCTTGGGTTTATTTTAAGAGTGGGTTAAGCAATGGCTCTGTGTGCCCACCATGTCAGCTATCATTGCTGTAACATGTCTGTAGCTAATGCAGTTTAGGGCTCAAACAAAACAAAAAGACACCCAGTCTTTTGTACCTCAACATGGAATATTTTCAAATCTCATTTTATTTGCTGCAGCACCACTGAAGCTAAGGTTACCTTTTACTATAAAGAGGAAAAAAATTGCCTACCACAAAGCACTTAAAATTATTCACAGTCTAAAATCCCAAACAATGGAACAAGGGAGGGGAGGGAGTATATTTTCTTTTTATATAACTGCATCCAGTACCTCAAGTCCTCTGGACAGCCAGCATTGTGAGGACTGCTTTGAGATGCCCTCATATTTAATTATGTCCAGCAAAAATCCCAATGCATATACTGTGTTTAAATAATGGAAATACAGCATTTATGTAGCAAAGCATGATTTTACTTAAAACAGTTTTTATTTCTTTTTAAACAGAGAAGAAAATACTGCAGACATGAGGGAGGAAATGCAGGAGAGTGCATGAAAAGGAAAGAGAGGGTTTTATGGTAATTAAAACTGGTTATGCAGAGCATTAAAATTCTGCATAGATTTGCATATTTTCCACCACCTGTTTTGGGGACTGCAGAGCAGGCTAATTAACATAAAGGCTCTGATTAATTCTGCCAGTCATTGAGAGATAATTACAGCGCAGGACTGTAAACATTCGGAGCTAGAGATACAGCCTGTTTGCCAACATCTCTCTTAGGGATGGAAGTTTACCATGGCAACCAAGGCAATTTTCTGCCTCCTTTCTCTTAGAAAGGAAGGTCAGTATATCTCTCCTTTTTTCCAAATTGTTATCATGTCTAACTGGGCCTACATTCTGCTAGGTTTCATAAAATGCACTGTCCAAGTTCTTTAGTACCTAGTAATACTGAAACCAGTTTTCAGTAAAGCTAATCTCGCTACCCCCTTAATACAGTATTGAAAGGAAGTGTCACGTTGATTTAAATACTCTGAAGATTCTCAAAAAAAGTTTGAATACAGTACTTTGCTATACCATATAGATCAATGAACAGCAAGTAGCCCAGCCTATTTTTAAATTACTGAGCATAATTGATTTGATTCTGTCAGATATGCAAGGGATCCACACCAGCCTCATTAGCAATCAGTGCTACATTTATAATCCTATGTTCAGCTTCCACAAATAAAAAGACATCTTGTAAAGTAATCCACATTTAAAAAGCAGGCCAGAAATGGAAGAACATGTCAGATTAGAGAGTTCTGTACTGAACATGAGACCTGTAACAATCGTCCACTAATTCGATACAATTATTAGCACCAGTATATTACACAACTCCCATTGCTGACTACCACCTATCTCCACTCTGGAGCTACCACCACTCTTCACCTTTATGGACCCAGCCAGGTAATTAGAATACGAGAGATCATGGCCTGAAAGCTACTTTTGATGGAAAAGACACTTGTTTGGGCAGAAGATGGAAGGAGGAGGAAGCTGTCCTTACCTGTACATTTAAGGACTGAGCAGCAGCCTGTAAACTTGTTCCAGCGAGCTGGACCTACAACACAGTGCAAAGAATGGAGGTGAAGTAAAGTAATGGTTATATAAAGATCTGAAAGATAAAACACCAATCCCCTCAAGCATTCTGCAGTAACTTGATGCAGGGGTAGTGCTCAGAATGATTAGAGACAAGTCCATATGGACCTTGCACAGTGTTATCTGTCCACCTCTCACTGAAGACATCCTGTTGGTCTAGGACAGTGATCCTCAAAGGACAGTGATCCTCTACCAGGGTGATGTGGGATCCTGGGGTGCCATGAGATCCTTTCTAGGGAGTCATGCAAATATCTCACTCACAATTCACAGATTTTAAATAGACGTCCATAGCGCCAAAAGCACTCTGACCTTTTGTGGTCTTTGAGTTCTTTGGAACAGAAGATTTGTGGAATCATTTTCCAATAGTCAAAAAATTAGTGAAAGCTATAAGCTAGCATTTTCTGTGGGTTGCCTTGAGTCTAGAGTGAGAATCACCGATCTAGGGTATGTGGGTGTTAACCTGAAATAGATCAGAAGTGGAACACTTTTGGGTGGGTGGGACCTCTATCATTATTTCCATGAGCCAGTTTTCTAGGTTTAAAAAACAAAACAAAACAAAAAAAAAAACAACAAAAAAAAAAAACCCGAAAAAAGCCATTTTCTGTGGGTTGCCTTGAGTCTAGAGTGAGAATCACCGATCTAGGGTATGTGGGTGTTAACCTGAAATAGATCAGAAGTGGAACACTTTTGGGTGGGTGGGACCTCTATCATTATTTCCATGAGCCAGTTTTCTAGGTTTAAAAAACAAAACAAAACAAAAAAAAAAACAACAAAAAAAAAAAACCCGAAAAAAGACAAAACAAAATTCTATTCCCCATCTTCTTATGACAGCCCAGGTGCTACCTCAAAAACACACAGCATTCACCACCTTCCTTGTGCAATACAATGGGAACTACGCACACCGGGAAGGGCGGAAGAAAACACACCTCACAAAGCATGAATACTGTCCCCATACATCAATTCATTCAAGCACTCTCAACCATCTTCAGTCACTGCAAGAGGGAAGTGCATACAAAAGGAGACTGTACCTTTAGTTAGGCTGCACTGACTCAAGCGTACTAATAAATTCAAACTGAATTTTTTTGACTGATAACCTGATTCAAAAGGTGTTGCAAAGAAACTACTGAAACTGAAAAGCAGCATGGCAGAATTTGGGATTCTTAAGGAGCATTAGAGACAAAAATGCTACAAAACAGGAGCTTCTCTTCTGTTGTTAATATATATATGCACACCCTGCAGCTAGCTTCAACAAACCTCTTCATGTTACCATCATTGGCATCATTGTTACTACAATGGCAGAATGTTATGTAATTGCCTAGGCAGACAAGGTTCCTTGGGTGAATTTGATATCTTTTATTAGACCAACCCAAATAGTTGGAGAATATTTATTAAGCAAGCTTTCGGGTTCAAAAACCCTTCGTCAGGCTAAGGAAGTTTAAATATTCTCCAACTATTTGGGTTGGTCTAATAAAAGATATCAAATTCACCCAAGGAACCTTGTCTGCCTATGTCCTTAGACCAACACAGCTACAACCTAAACCCATGTAATTGCCTATTCTTTCAAAGGTCAGGGCTATAGCTTGTAGGTGTTCCATCACTGCCCATGCTTGGGGGGAAAATGTATATATATATTCCCCCCAAGCTATATACATTATAGCTTGGGGGTGGGGGGAATATATAAATCACTTTACTGGGAACCAGGAAATACATGAGGACAAGAAAAACAAACCATCAAATGTGGTGTGCTGTCCTTTATGAAAAGGAATATACACCCTCACGTGGAGATGCATTACTTAAGGGAGCCCCAACATATCTATAACTAGGCTTGCTTTCCCCTTGCCCTACAGGGGCTGGAGGTTTTTTTTTTTCTCAAGGCCAAGCACAGGAATTGAATAACTTATTTCACCAAGTGGAAGCTCTAACTTCATAGCTGTGTTTCGAAATACTTCCTACCTTCTGGGTAAGATTTGACAAGGTTTCTTACCACCAAGACAACATCCTCAAAAGAGCTCCTCTTTTTCACATATTGCTAAAACTGAATTGAGTTTGCCAGAATTTGTGTTCTGAGATTTTTATATTAATTAATAAAGGAGAATAGTTCCCTGTCAAAATGAAAAATGGTTGTCCTAGAATACAGCTCAGGAATAATTATTAAAGGGTGACCTTACAGATATAGAAATCGCGTGCAGTCAATATACACCTGAAAACACCTTTAAACCCAATACTGGGCCCTCCTTTCCTATCATACACACATTTTCTGATTAGAATATTACATTACATTGTTTCTGAATGGTGCCTCAGTTTTTACTGAGACTGATCTTGGTTTTTATCACTAAGAACTGCTATACTGGACTAGAACAACAGCTCATCTATTGTGAGAGCCAGTCTAACTATGGCCACCAGCCCAGGAACCAGGAGGCTTAGAAACTTCTTGAAGGTAGAGATTCAAGAGGTACAGCAATGTTCATCAGATAGGAAATTAAGGTCCTAGCAACTTTTTAAATAGTTTACAGGGCAAAGGGATAAAAATATCGTACTGATCATAACTACCATCTAAGGTAAAACCACATCACAATGCATACTAGAACAAACTTGGTTGAAAATGCAAAGCCTTTCAGAGCTCTTCTAGCTGTGCGTCTACCATGAAGACAGTCATAGTGCCACAAACTTGCCTAGGAGTGTGATAAAGGTGTTCTAAAGCAGCATATTAGTTCAGCATACTCAGTGTCACTCCACATTTCTATGTAAACCTCATCCACTGGAAATTTATAATTATGTGACCAAAAATGTTGAATGCTCAGTACAATAAAGTGGCACCTCTAGACTCTTAAAAGTAAGTATAAAACCCTTAGTACCTCAATTATATCACAACAACTGTGTAACCTCAGACCTTGAACACTCAGGGTCAGCCAATTAGCAACAGTATTTTTAAGTTTAAACTTGGTGCCAAGGAAGAGAAAGAAATTAGGACATTTGTTTTCATACCTCAAGTATGATCAGACAGATACAAAGAGGTCCCCCTCCCACTTGCCTTCACCCAGGGATGCCCCATTTCCCTTCAGTGTGCATCTGAAGTTCAGCTTTGATTCTCTAAGTATATCAGCAGTAGAGAGGAGGCAAGGAGAAGCCCAACTATCCTATGGCAGAACATCCCCAGGAAATAAAACTCTCCAAAACAAAAAGTCATTCTCACAATGTATGGTATGGTAGGTATGGTTGCCTAATGTCATCATTTCATGTTTTTAGTTGGCATGTAGGAAGTTGTATCAGGATTGGGAGCCACCAGCAGTGCAACAAGGCACAGGATGATCTGGCCCCAAGGGCCAACTCAGAAGTGCAAGAATGGCAGCCATTGCTATTCCAGGTGGCCTAGCCCTTGCCACACCTGCTGCCCAGTGCACAGACCCTGGTAGCTATGTCTCTGGAAACCATCACTGCTCTCTCTATCACATATCCCTTCTTACCTAGATAGTAAGAAATTTCAGGGCCATCTTGAGGCAGCTGTTAAGTATAATTCTTTAAAAGGAGACCAAACCTGGCCTTGTCTTTAGGATAAAGAACAGACCATCGGGGTTTACTGTTCACATCTTACTTGAAAAAATTCCTTCATGTCACAAGCATCTAGAGTATTTACTTCTCACATCCTCCCAAGAATATTGAAAGAACTATTACGGTCAGACAGTATTTTAATTATGTCCTGGCACCCTGTGACAGCATCTGTTTTCCAGGAGTAGCCAAAATATTGAATGTGGGGGCTACAGATCAGTACAATGAGGTGACTGCCCCCCACAATTAGAAAGGAGAAAGAAAAAAAAAAATCACATATTGTGCTTGGGCTGAATGACTCAAACCCCCTCAGAATCCCCTTTTTATTCATTGATACAATCATGGCAATCATGAAGAAAAGAACAGCAAGTCCATTTTCCATCTGTCTCCTCCCCAAATCTCCTCCAAGTTAGTAGGCGACAGTCTTACCTGATGAAGGTGTCCAAGGAAGGCCTGGGCCTGGGCTGTCGAGATTGCCCCTCCAACGGGCACAGGCTGCTTCTGAAAGTCCAGGCCATTTGTTTGCGTGCCTGAAGACGCAGAAAAAGATATGACAAACTATTCAGTGGGACTTTTGAAAACCAGCCTTCAGAGACCATTTGATTTACAGGTCCTTTGGTCTCCTGCTATTCTGGACTAGAATTTAGTGACATGCCCTCCAATAACAAGAGCAGCTCAAGTCTTTCCTGAAATAACAGAGGTGCCATCATTACCAGACATTGATTTACAGCATGTGCCAGCTGAACCAGAGCAGCTTTGTAGCCCCTCAACACCATATTCTATGTAATACTGTTCCAGTCATCTTGTGCACACCACAGCACTCTTGGTGCTGACAATGGTCTGATACCAGACACACTGCATATTGCTAGGGTTCAGCTCTTACTTCAGTTTTACATGTACGCTTTGCCTAATAGCTTGCTCTTGAGTTCTTAAATTCAGACTTCGGGGAAGAACAAGGTTTACAGTAGAAAGAATACTTGCTTTCTTGCCAAGAGGATAGAGCAAGAGAGAAGGAAGTCGCAGGTAAATGCAAAAGCTACGTGTGAAAGAGAAGAGGGGTCATAATTCAGCTTTCTTTTAGATAACTACATTCCAGGGATTGTACAGATAGAAGAAGAGCAATTATTTTTCATCTACTTTGAAATAATCCAGGTATAATAGTTTCTCTGCAATTTCTCTTTTCCCCAGAAGGCCTGGAAAAAAATGAAAAACCCAAGAGCTAACCCCGATGCATGCCAGTGAGAGAAATGAAACGATCAGAAACTGTTCCCCACAACAGATCAAAGATTTCTCTTTTGCCAAGAACTATATAGTCTTAGAAAACATTTCTTTATGCTGAAGAAAGACGTCAGAATTAACATTACTAGCAACTGTTTTGGTGCACTTATAATGCTGTTGCTATCTTTATTGCAGCTTTGCCTTTGAATTTATTAGTCACTATGGCTAGGGACAGACGTTACTCATAAACCAGATTAAGTGATCATCAGAAACTAGTTTAAACCTGTACCAGAACAGATGTTCAGTGCACATAAACCAGTTTGAAAATGGCTGAAACTGGTTTGAGATAAACGTGGTTAAATGTAGTATCAGACTTAACTAATTTGGGGCAAACCGGTTTATGCAATGTCTGTCCCAGCCCCCTTTCTGGTTTAAGTTAAACCAGACATCCCCAGCATCCCGGCATGCTCTCTGGGCTGGGTGGGGATCTCTGCTCCACAGAAGGGCTCCTCCCTTCTGTTCCCTGGCTGCAGCTCTGGCAGAGACTTGCATGCTGCTCCCTCCCCTCTCCTCACCACCCTCCCAAGCAGGAATTCCCCCCTCCCCTCTCTGCTTTGCTGAGAGGTATCTGTGTATTAGCTAGCAGACCACATGCTGGCTCTGGTCCATGCTGTGACAGGCAGAATCAATAGGTAGCTGGTAATATCCCTCTCTTGTTTTCCTAATGGGATGATAAATCCAAAGTTAAGGGTGATAAACACTGTTATCAATTCTTTGCTGGGCTAATCAGAGTGTCCTGCCAGGGCCTGTCTATACCCCCCCCCGCCGGCTCAGTTCTGTACAAGGGAAGGGAGGGCTGCTCTAGCACCCCACGGCTTCTAGCCTGAGCCAGTACAGGCATGTGCCTGCATTTCTGGAATGAAAAGGGAATGTCTATCCACCTCCAAATCAGTTCAAGCTTTGTAGGGTAGACTAACCTGCAAAGATTGAATCAATTCAGGCTCAGGCTTTTTGAATGTCTGTCCCTAGCCTATGACACGAGAAATCTCTAGGTTTGAAAATATCATTGTATTATCTGCTCTAGAAATTCTATCTAGCTAATATAAAAAGAAAAAAGCATGCTTAGATTTTGATACAAGTTCAGTTAATTAGTATACCACTTCACATTATAATGGCTGTCAGGTTTTGCTCAACTGCAGTGGGCAGGCTGTACATGACTTTCCCTTCTATACTTTACCATGTAACCAGATTAAAAATTACAGGTATTAAATCTGCATTACCTAAGGAGCGAAAGAGGTGCTGATGTTATGCATGGGGACTTTGCCACCCCTTTAAAACCTAGGAAAGCAAATGTGTTTTATTTTCAGGAAAGTCAAGGAGGCATTTATTTGATTATTGGTCTATATGTTCACGTGTTTTATACTGAAGTTTTACCTTTATTAAATTATGATTGTACACAGACCCTTTTAGTCACAAAATGAAGAGTCTAGTAAAGTTTTTCAGTACCCCCCTACAATACATCTAATGGGTTTCTTCTGTATGAAGAGATTTTAGGTTAATTTTCATTTCATTATTAATACTTTAGATAAGGTTGCGATTTAACATTTACCTTGATCTATATATCCCAGAAAGCTGAAAACAAATGGGCCTACTACTCCCAGAAGTCCTTTCCTGCATTTATCAAACAACCATAATCAACAACTTGAATGTAATATGCAATCCCAGAGAAAGCAATAGCAGACATTAAAGATGTAGAAAATTATTATATGAATCTGTTTTACTGCACTTCATCAAAAGATCTAAAAAACAGCTTTAAAAAGTTGATCATTTTTTCATGGCTAGGAAAAAAATAAGTGCAGAAAGTAGTTCAAGATCACATGATAATTTGTTATAGAATCAAGTCTTCTGATTTGTATTCTGCTCTAGCCAACAGATGTGTAATCTCTCTACTTTGCATCTCTCCTCTCATACTAAACATAGGAGATTAACATCTAATAATACTGAAAAACTGCAGTTGCAAGAAAATTGTGCATTTTGCAATGTTGTTCTTTTCTCTAGATTCAAACACTACCAAAACAACGCTTTTTTAAAGCAACCTACTACGTAGTAACCATGAAAGACCTGCATCAGAAAAATATTTTCCAGCCAAATTGAAGCAATAAAAGGTAAAAATAATACAATTTAAAAAGCCCTGTCTATTTTGTCCAGGTCTCTAGACATTGAAAAAATATTAATCCTTCTCAAATAATTTATTTCAAATCAGATTAAGTTTAAAAACTATGGGCCTGATCCAAAGCAGTAGCTTTTAGATTAGCTTTTGGTCATTGGCTTGAATTAACTTGGGTTGGCTATGGAAAAGGATGCAGTTAAAGGTACTAACATTAATCATGGCAGTCAAAATGAGCAGCAACTTGTTTTTAATGTGCACCTGCTCTCACTGCCCCTCACTGTACAAACAGAATCTTTCCCTCTAAGCTCCTTTACAGACAGAAAGCTGTTGTAGGCTGGAGTCTGGCCTGCTTTTTAAATTTTTGGCATTTGTACTGTTTCATGTCCAGGGAGGACAGTTCCCAAAAAACTTGCATATTCAACTAAAAACTATGTGCAACTGACCTTTAAACCTTTTGATCTCTGTCTTACAAATCTAATAAGGTGTGCAAGTGTTTCGCTTTGTTTTCCCCAACTTTTATTTTTATCTAAGTGAACTCAAAATCTGACTTGTGTGTGCACTTTAGACAGTATACTTTCTTGACTATAACTCAGGGAGGTGCCTCTCCCTCCAGCCTAGATGATGGGACACGATTTCCATGTTTCAATGCTTATGACAGCAAGGAGCAATCACCTGGTCTAAAAGCAACCCAGCTGCACTCCCATAAAAAAGCATATGGGCCTGTAGCTATCTTTGGGCATGGTGGCAAGAAGCCTCCACTCATGTAGTGTGGTTCAACTGTCTCAGTTTGCTGCACTAAAGCCGGCAGTCCTGTAAGGCCAGAACTCCATAGAAAAGTGGAAAGCGAGTAAGAGGAAACACTCCTGACAAATGGCTACTGTAATTAAACATTTTTTCTTTTTACTTCAAGGTATGCTCAATGTAGTCCCCCTTCTGCAAATCTAGTTAGCATTATACCCCCCAGGAAAATGAGATGAGGCTTTCTAATTAACTCCTTCACAAGGAAAGCAGAAAACCCAGATGCCTTGAAAGACAACTGCTATGTACATGCTGCTGCAAGCTGCTACAGATCTTTAGGATGGAAATATTATGGAGCCATGGCACTGCAGCTGCCTTGAGCCAAGGTAGAGTGAACCCAGCAGTTATTCCTAATGCCCACAGAAGGGGAGGTTTCTCATGGGAATTTCAAAAAGTTCATGAAGCAGTCGGGGAGGTGGGGCTGTGGTTGGCAGGCATTTTGATTGGCAAAGGACCACAGGCAGCATGAAGGGACCAAAGAGATCCAATCCTGATCTCTATATAAACTAAACATAGAAACCTGTGCTGTGTAAAGAGAAAGCAGAGATATGGCTCAGACAAACAACTATCATGCTTCTCCCACCCAGGTCCACAGGTATGGGTGAGGGAACCTCTTCGTGACTCCATACTAGCCTGGTTTTCAGATGCTAACGTGCCAGTGAACTAGGGATTGGGGCAAAGGTATACAATTCAAAGTGACTACCTAGCCCTTCCTACCATGCTCTTCCTTATACTCTCTTCCAATTTAAGCGGGTGGCCTATATTTTGAAGTAAAGTTTTAATAATCTGCTATGAATTCAAACTGCTTTCAACTTTTTGGATGATTACCTCCTGCGCTACTACCCCTGAATGTAGACCATGCACAAATGCAGAGAGAACTTGTACGGGTTAGTAGTTAAGTCACTTGACTGGACTTAAGACATCCACATTCAGTTACCAGCTCTGCCACAGAAGTTATTTACTTTCCCTTGTACCTCAGCTGCACACCTGTGAATGGATTCATACGCTTTATTTCTCCCATTGTCCGTCTCGTCTATTTAATGTCTAATTACCTGTTCCAGGCCATTACTGTTCTCTTTTTATGTACAGGTGCATCACCTAATATAATGGAGCATTAATATAGCTTTTTTGTGGTTATTTAAAAGAAGCCCTAACCACTATCATCCATGTAACAATTTGAGAGAGATCCAATACTATGCCATCCACCCATATTTTTCACATTTAACTGCCACATATGGGTCAGACTCCACCCCATTATGATGAGCTTAACATTCATTTTACTGAATCCAGTACAAATATAGAGGGCAGACTTAAATATTCCATTCACAAAATCTTGGATATACC